TAACCATTGAACCACTGGGGAAGTCCCAACATTTGGTTTTTTTCTAACCTCTTGTTCTTAGAGGCAAAGCTGCAACGATTTTCCTTGCATGGCCATCGTTTCCATTTTGCGCCTATGAATGCAGGAGAAATTCCTGGCAGTGAAATTGTTGCATCAAAGGGTGTGTGCATTTAAACTATTGGTAGATATTGCCAGATAGGTTTTTTAAAAAAAATTTGGTTGCCCCAGGTCTTAGTTGCGGCTCGCCAGCTCCTTAGTTGCAACATGTGAACTCTTAGTTGCAGCATGCATGTAGGATCTAGTTCCCTGACCAGGGGTCGAAGCTGGGCCTCCTGCATTGGGAGCGTGGAGTCTTAACCACTGCACCACCAGGGAAGTCCCCCGCTAAGTAGGCTTTATGCCAACTTGCCCTCCCACTTAAAACATGTGAGGGCTGGGCTTCCCTGGTGGCGCGGTGGTTGAGGGTCCGCCTGCCGATGCGGGGGACACGGGTTCGTGCCCCGGTCCAGGAGGATCCCACATGCCGCGGAGCGGCTGGACCCGTGAGCCATGGCCGCTGAACCTACGAGTCCGGAGCCTGTGCTCCGCAATGGGAGAGGCCACAGCGGTGAGAGGCCCGCGTACCGCAAAACAAACAAAAAAAAACATGTGAGTGCTTGTTTCTTCGCATTACACACACAGTAAGTAATCAAACTTTCCAAACTTTGCCAGTCTAGTAACTGAAAAATGGTTTCTCAATGTAGTTTTAATTTCTCTTATTAGAGTGATGTTGAACATCTTGTCACATGTTTCAGAACCAATTGTATTTTCTTTTCTGTGAACTGAATAAATAATTTGCCTATTTTTCTATTGGGCTGTGGGTCCTTATTATTTATTTGAATGTTCTCTTTACACATCAAAGGCACTGTCTGCATGATAAGCTTCAAAAATAATTTTTTGAAAAAAGTTGCTTTTAGACAGAGATGAGAAGTTTCTACAGGTCACATCATTTTCTGTGCATCACTACGGGGCTGCCTAAGGGCTAAGGGGGCAGCCGTGCCATGTAGAGTTCTAAAAGGTGATGCTAGGATCTGGTGCTGGGGTTGGGGGAGGAGGGGTGGGCAAGGAGGCAGTTGTTAGCTCTCACACTAGATGGAAAGGGCTGCCTCAGAAGACAGCAAGCTCCCCAGTGCAGGAGGTAGGCAAGACAGGCTGGCCTGGCTCTAAGACCTTTTGCCCTTCATCTGGAATGTCTGTGGATAGACAAGTCAGAAAGGGGAAGACACACAAATAGGGCTGTCAGTTTCTCATCATTTGGGCCTTGAGTGGGTGGTTACTGCATCTGGAACATTATTTGTTTATTTATTTATTTTTTTAATTAAAAAAATTTTTTTGGCCTCACGGCTTGTGGGATCTCACTCAGTTCCCCGATCAGGGATTGAACCCAGGCTCTTGGCAGTGAAAGTGCAGAGTCCTAACCAATGGACCACCAGGGAATTCCCATGTAACATTATTTAATAGTAATATAAACTCCTTAGAATGTAAGCTCCATGAGGCCATTTCAAGTGCTAAATAAATAGTTGTGAGATGAAGAATGAATGAATGAATCTAATCAAAGGATGTGAGAGGTTGCTGTTTCTGAGCCCGGAGGGAGCCCTCTTCCCCTCCCTCCCTCTTTGAAACTGCCCTGTCCTCTTCCTTCCTCTGAGTCAGGTCTTAGCATCTCTCCTCTGGTCCTTGTGTCCACAGCCCCCCAAGTCCCCCAGTGCCCAGGCTTCTCTTGACTCCCCTCCAAGCAGCTAGATTCACTTCAAGAAAATGTAAGCCCATTAGCTCGCTCCCCACTGCCTGTACTTCCCAGCCTGCCCCTTCAGGGCCTTCTCAGTCTGCCCACTTCTCTGGTTTCCTCTCCTACGAGTCCTGCCCCTCACCTCACACACCCCATGCTCCTCCAGAAAAAATAATGGTCACATTGACTGAGCACTTCCTAGATGCACTTTTACACGGGTTATCTTGTTTAAGCCTCACAACAATCTATGAGACCTACGAGGGCAATGCTCTTATTACCTCATGTGATAGATGAGGAAACGAAGACCCAGAGAGACATTTACCCCTTGGGTGACCCCAAGGTCACCCAACTAGCAGATGACAGAGTTGGGACTGAAAACCACTCAGTCTGACCCTGGAGCCAGAGCGCTTAAGTGTCTCGGACTGTGCCACGCTCCTTCCGGCTCCCCTGCCTGTGCTCATGCTGGGCCCCCCAAAGGGCTCTCCCTGCTATTGTCAACCTGCCAAAAATCTTGCTCGTCCTTCAAGGTCTCACTCATACGTCACCTCCTCCGAGAAGCTTTTTCCAGCTTCCCCAGAAAGAGCCGGTTTCACACTCTTTGATTTTACAGTTGAGAATTTTGTGCTGTGATAATTTGGGGACCATCAGGCTAGGAACCCCCGCAGTGGGCAGGAATTATTCTGTATCTCTTTCTACTGTCTAGCACAACCCCTGGCACACAGTGGGTGATCTCTAAATGACAGTGACTGAATGGCAGTGGCCCCAGGACTCCTCCCCAACACGCGGTTGTGAAGGATTGCTAGGAGTCTCCAGGGCCCCCAAATGGGAGGGGCTTCAGTGTAAGGGGCAGCTGGAGACATTTTCACTACCCACCACTTGTCAATGGGTCGAGACTGTCCCCATGCGATCCTGCTGGTGGGGGAGTTCCATCATTATGCCACCCCTACAGGTCTTTGGGAATCAACTATTCACCCCCAGGGGCGTTTCCCGTCTTGCAGTGCCAGGAACTGAACCACGATGGGAAGTGATCCTGGCAGGGTTTCTGAGTGCTATAGCAGGAAGTGTGGCCAGAGTCCGCATGCTTAGAGCCCGGGTCACCCCAGTCAGGGCCCTTTGGACCTCAGAAACCAAGGGGTTGCATGACTTTGGTAAGAAGGTAGTTCCGGGGTGTGTGTGGACTTCCTCGGGGTGTGCGGGAAATTGCTCCATCCTTGGAGCTGTGGGGTAAGAGCTTTCCCAGTGCCTCTCAGCAGCCCTGTCACAGTGTCCAGGCTAGGACTGTGGGCAATTTCCAAGCTTGATCCTCTTGCAAAGCCCTCAGCCCTTTGAGAGGGACCCCATCTCTTTGGCCTCTGCCCCTCATCAACAGATTTCTCCCTCATGGCTGCCTCACTCAGGCACTTACTAGGGCACCCCACAGCCTCGGGTTCAAATGCCTCAGCCTGCAGTCATTATATCCCAAAGACTGGTAGAGAGGATAGCAGAGCAGGTAGGAGCCTGGGTTCTGGGGTTAGCCAGATATGGGTCCAATTCCCAGTTCACTGTGTGACCTTGGGTCATTCATTTCACCTCCTTGAGGTCCAGTTCCTTCATCCATAAAATGAGAATAAATAAATTTGAAAACATCATAATTAAGGATTTGTCCAGTGGAAAATTTGTTCAGAGGAAGGCACCACAGACGAATGGTTCTCAACGTGTGGTCCCTGAACCATCAGCATCACCAGAGTACTTGTTAAAAACACAAGTGCTGGGACTTCCCTGGTGGCGCAGTGGTTAAGAATCCACCTGCCAATGCAGGGGACACGGGTTTGAGCCCTGGTCCGAGAAGATCCCACATGCCATGGAGCAACTAAGCCTGTGCGCCACAACTACTGAGCCTGCGCTCTAGAGCCCGTGAGCCACAATTACTGAAGCCAGCGCGCCTAGAGGCCGTGCTCTGCAACAAAGACAAGCCAGCCCAATGAGAAGCCCGCGCACCACAATGAAGAGTAGCCCCTCCTCGACCCAACTAGAGAAAGTCTGTGTTCAGCAACGAGGACCCAATGCAGCCAAAAATAAATAAATACACAAATTTATTTTTTAAAAAAATCACAAGTGCTAAAAACAAACAAAACCAAAAACGCAAGCTCTTAGGTCCCACCTCTGTTCTGTTGAGTCAGAAACTCTGGAGTGGGGATCAGGAGATTCTGATAAATGCTGAAGTTGGAGAACCACTGCCATAAATAACAGATGGGCAATGCTCTAGGAGAAGATCCTTGTAACAACAATATCCAAAAAGAGATTGACATCTAAAATTTATAAGCTACTCCTACAAATCAACAAGAAAAAACAGGAAATCCAGGAGATAATGGAGAAAAGATATGGACAGACAATTCACTGAAGGGGAAGCCTAAATCCCTGACAAGTATAGGAGGTTCTGAATCTCAGGATTGACAGAGAAACGCAAGTTAAAACAACGAGATGTCATCTTACACCCAAAGTAGGCAAAAGTTACAAAGTCAGATAATGTAAAAGTTGCTGAAAATGTGGGGAGAAAACATCCCTCACACGCTACTAGTGGAGCCATCCTAGCAGATTTTAGTGAAAATTAAAACAGAGATGCTGTATGATCTAGTAATTCTACTCTTGGGTATAGAGCTCAAAGAAATTTTCACACAGCCCCATAAGGGTCATGCACAAAGATGTTCATCACAGTGTGGTTTATGGTAAGAGGGAACTGGAAGCAACCTGAGTGTCCATCACTGGGGGAATGGATAGATAAAACAGTGGATGCTCAGCTTGGAATATTTTGCAGTGGTTAGATGTAATAATTTAGGTTTTTACACAGCAACATGAGTAGATCTTTTTTTAAAAAAATAAATTTATTTATTTTTGGCTGCGTTGGGTCTTTGTTGCTGCGCGAGGGCTTTCTCTAGTTGTGGCGAGTGGGGGCTACTCTTCGTCGTGGTGCTCGGGCCTCTCATTGCGGTGGCTTCTCTTGTTGCGGAGCACAGGCTTTAGGCACGCGGGCTTCAGTAGTTGTGGCTCGCGGGCTCTAGAGTGCAGGCTCAGTAGTTGTGGCGCCCAGGCTTAGTTGCTCCATGGCTTGTGGGATCTTCCCGGACCAAGGCTCAAACCCGTGTCCCCTGCATTGGCAGGCAGATTCTTAACCGCTGCACCACCAGGGAAGTCCCAACATAAGTAGATCTTAAAAACATATTAGGGAGTGAAAAAGGAAACAACAGAATGAGAACCTTATACAATACCATTTACGTAATATAAACACACACACAGAAGACATTGTACATTTTATGTCCAGGGATATATATCAACACATAGGGGTGGGTGCCTATTGTAGGGAGGGGAAGGATTGTGGGGATGTATGGATGGAGTTCGGGGAATATAAAACAAAGTAAGACATCAGAAGGGCCTTTTATGGATCAGTTATGATGGGATGGTCATTTGCCACGAACTGAGTATAACTCATGAAACTCTCTGGATCTGAAGCCCTAATAATAATAATGATATAATTTTAACAATGGTGATAATAGTACCTACCTCACGGTAAGTGCCCTGTGTCTGGCCATGGAAGGCCATGTAAAGTTCTACAAATAAATTTTAGCTCTTCTATGCAATTCTCTTGCCTCTTCTCAGGGCTTCTTTCTTTCAGCCTCTGAGCCTTTACTGAGGCTGTGCTGAGTCCTGTCCTTATGCTGACTTCTCCTCCCCTCCAACCCTGTCTTCAGACTTCTTTGACTACCCCAGATGCGACGGCTTGTCTGCGGAATCTTGGGTACTTTTCATTTGGGCCTCGAGCACAGAGCCAGGCTGTAATAGAGCTGTGAGGGGCAATTCCTATTTCCTCCTCCCAAACTGTGAGCTCCCTGAGGGTCTTCTCACCTCCACCTCAGCTCCTGTCCCGTTGCACACAGGTAAAGACAGGTAAACTGAGTCAGAAAGTGTTCGATGTGGAAGGGAACAGCATTTATTGAGCGCTTATCACGTGCTAGACCCAGCACCGAGGTCTTGACCTTCAGTCATCCCTATGACGCCCCTGTGAGGTGGGTGGGGCCGACTTCATGGTCAGAAGAGGAAATGCAGATGCAGAGAAGCTAGAACTGCTACCAGACAGGAGACCTAGCCTGTCTGGCTCCAAATGCAAGATCTGAACAAGCAACCTGTTCAGAGCCTTAGGGCCAGGACTGGGACCCAAATCGTCCACCTCTGGGTTGACTGTCAGTCCTCTATTCCACACTAACGATCTAATTCCACCTGCGAAGGGGAGACCCTGTCTCTTAGAGCTTTAAAAATACCCTCCACACCATTTAGTATGGTCAGTTTGAGGTAATATCTAAGGGGAATCCCTCAAGTCCCTTCTCTCAAACATGTTTCTCAAACTGTAAAATAAGAGGAACAGAGGTCTTTGGGCTCTGAGAATTATTTTCTCAACCGGCCAGCAGGTGGAGCCCACTCTTCATTCCTCCCTTGGTCTCCAGAAAGCTGCGGAGTCTCGAGGAGGAAGGAGAGTCCAGAAGCCGAACCCGCGGGGCTAGCGGGACAAAGAAGTTCGCAGTCCACCCCAGCCGGCCAAGGGGCTGCCAAGTCCCGGTTAGGATCCCGCCCCTGCAGGACATTCTCGGTACTGCAGGGACCGGAGCCCCGGGAGTAGGGACAGAGACCCCGGGAGGGTGGAGCCCCGGTTGGGGGTTTGAGGAGGAGGTCTGGGGATGGGGTCCCACAGGCAACGGCGAGTGAGACTCAGGAGCGGGGTCTTGGGGCCACCCCCTTCCCCGCCCTCCGCATGGGCGGCGGCACAGGCTACAGGTAGTTGTCCTCGGCCGCGTCGACCCCGCTCGGGGAGCCCTGGGCCTCCTCGTCAGTGCTTTCGTCGTCGTCGTCTGGGGCCAGCGCCTCGATGTCGTGCGTGATGTCAGACAGCAGCCGGTGGAAGGCCTGCGCCTCGGGCCGCTGGGCCGCGCCGTCGTAGCTGCGCACGGCTGACGCCGACGTGGAGCTCATGCTGCGTTTGATGCGGCCGAAGCTGTCGGTGAGGATGCCGCCCTCGCGGATGCCCACGCCCTCCAGGAAGCCCTCGAAGTAGCCGATGTCCTGGTCCGGAATGAAGGGCCGCATCCCTGCAGGCCGAGGGGCAGGGTGATTCCTTGGGGTCAAGCCTTCCCCTCCCACGGAGGAATCACCTTCTCTGGGGAGCGGAGTGCAAATCCCCACCCTGCCGCTCGCCGGCTGTGTGACCTTGCACAATTCCTGACTCTCTGAGCCAGAGAGTAACGGCATAATGCTCCGCACGCAATAAATGCTCACTACATGTTAGCTTATTATTGTTATCATTATTATTATTACATTCCCATTTATGAGTTGTGTAACACTCCTCCAATAATTTCTCTGAGCCTTACTTTCCTCCCCTGTAAAAGGGAGATAATTACACCTGTTCTCTCGGTAGGGCTGTGAGGATTAAATAAGGTACTTAACACACACTGAGTGCCCCATTTGGCTTCCGTTTTACTTCTGTCACTACTTATTAGCTTTGTGACTTATTTATGTACTTTGCTTCTCTAAGCCTCAGTTTTCTTATCTGCAAAATGAGGGCAAATCATAGTTTCAACTTCCCGGAACTGAGGGCGTTCAATGAGATGATCCTTGCCACTACACACGGTAACTGCCCAATACATGTTAGCTTATTAAGATTATCGTTCCTGTTGCTGTTATCACTAGCCCTCCTTACCAGCTCTGTGACCTTGGAAGAGTTCCTTAGCCTCTCTGAGCCTCAGATTCCTCATGGAGTAAAATGGGAAGAATCATATCCTCTCCCAGCTTTGCTGTGAAGGTGAAATGGTTACACCTGTGCTCTCTCTCCCGGCTCTGACTGCAGACAAGTCTCTTCCCCTCTCTGCACTTTGGTTTCCCTGTTTCCCTCATGAATCTCATGATGTCGGCTTTATGGGAGGCCAAGGGATAAAGAGTAAACACTCCCAGCCTGGGCAGGGGGCTCACCAAGCAGGAGGAACTTGCGCCGGTCTCCGTAGAGCTTCAGCAGGCCTGCGCAATAGTCCTGGATGGGCAGCCCCAGACGGTAGTCCCGCAGCAGCAGGGCAAACTGCTGGATCTCAGGGGGCCCCAGCTTACTCCGCAACTGTCAGGGACACCATTCGAGATTAATCCCAAGAGCAACCCCCACCCAACCCCTGCCTAAAAGACCCAGAGCCCTCGCTAAGGGTGTATCCAGCCCAGCCCTCCCGTGAAAACCCGGCCTTGGGCTGCATCTAAGAATGGGATGTGGACTCAAGCTGCCGGATTTCAAATCCTGGCCCCTTCACTGACCAGCTCTGTGATCGTGGGTAGGTGACAACCTCCTTAACCCTCGCTTTCTTCATCTGCAATGTGAGGATAATGAAGGCATTTCCTTCTTGGGTTGTTGAAAGGATGGAAAGAAGTGATGCATTAAAGGTGCTCAGAACAGTGCCTGGTATAAAGTCGACACTCAGTGCTAGTTGACATTACTTAAAGCCTTTCACAGCTGACTCCGTCTGCTCTCCTAACCTCATGCCCTGCCCTGACCGCTGAGGTCTTATGCTTCAGTTACGTCCAGGATTATTCATGATGCCTGAAATACCCCATGTGTTCTCCAGGCCCTTGCTTATGCTGTTCGCACTGCCTGCCCCAGCTCACCGTGACCATGTAATCCTGCAACTGCTCGAGGCCCAGGCTGCTGTGGTCGCTGCCGCTGCAGTGGGAGCCATGGAAAGAGGGTGTGGACGTGCCGCTGTAACAGGCTTCAAATGTGTCCTGGGAGCCATTGCTGCAGAGACGGGGGGGAAGGGCCCTCACTCGCCTCCCTCCAGCTCCTCTCCATGTGGTAGGCTGAAGGTGGGAGAGTGCAGCCACCAGTGCTCTGGGCCTGGGGCCTCATCCTATACACCATTTTGGCCTTCGAGGCCCCATATGATCTGGCCACGCACCACCTCTCAAGCCTCGTCTCCCCCTTGCTGTTTGTGCTCAGGTCACCCTGCCTTCTGTCTTTTCTTCTAATACTCCAAGTACCTCCTCACCTCTGGGCCTTTGCACATGCTGTTCCCTCTGCCTGGAATGCCTCCCCTTCCCTGTCTTTTGCTCAGCTAACTCTTCCTCACCATTGGATCTTAAATGTCACCTCCTCAGGAAAGTTTTCCCTGATCCCTCTAGAATGGGTTAGACCCTCTGTCAAATGTGGTCACATAGTCTGTAAGCCTACCCATGACATGAAGGCCTTTCCGATGCCCCCACCAGATCTCCTCTCTAACCACTCTGTCCTTCACACCCTCTGCTGCAGCCAAAGTGGCCTCCTGGCTGCTCCTCAAACATGCCAAGTGGATCCCGCTTCAGCATCCTTGCACTTGCTGTTCCCTGTACCTGGAGCGCTCTTCCCCCTTTTATTTGTCATGTCTCAGTTCAAGTGTCATCACCTCGGAGAGGCCCTCCTGACTCCCCAGATGAGGTAGGGTTTCCACAGCCTCTCTCTCAGCACTCTGAGCTTCTCTTGAGTGTTTATTACTGTTGACGCTTATTATTACTAAATAATGATTTCATTGTCTCCTGTGCTACCTTGTGAACCATGCAAGAGCAGGGACCTGGTTTTCTCTGTTTGCTGAGTACCTACTATGTGCCAAGCACAGGCCTCGTCCTTGTCTGGCTCCCCACTGTATCCCTAGCACAGAGCACAGTGCCTGGCACATGGTAGGTACTCAATAAATATTGCTTAAATAAAAGTCAACATTGGGCTCCTGCCTCCTGGTCTCTACATTGTTCCAGAACCATCTTCAATTATTACCTCCAGAGAAGCAGTGTAAGCTTAGTGTGGACTCTGGAGCCAGCCTGTCTGGGTTCAAATCGCAGGCCTACAACTTACTAGCTGCTTGACCTTGGGTCAAGTTACTTAACTTCTCTATTCTTCAGTTTCTCTATCTGTAAAATGGTATGATAAAAATTGGTGTCATTGTAAGAAACAGAGGAGTTAATATTTGTACAGTACTTAGAGTCATGGACTAGGCAGTAAATAAACAGTAGCTACTGTAATGTTGCTATGTTGATTTTAAAAACGAAGTGCATTATAGAATAGCACTTGGCAGACAGCAAGTTCTAAAGTTAGTCATTGTCATGACTGTCATCTCTCTAGCAGGTTGTTTAAGGACTGGCCTAAGAGTGCACAGTCTTAAGCAAGTATATTGCCGCTGAAAAGGGGGGCGGGGGGAAGTAAGGCCTATATCACTGGCAGAGGCTGTCCCCTGTCAGCCTTAATAACAGAAAGCCAAAGGCCTTAGTAACAGAACTAAGGTGACCAACTTGTCCCAGTTTTCCTGGGACTTTCCTGGTTACAGTACTGAAACTTCCATGTTTTGGGGAAGCCCTAAATCCTGGGCAAACTGGGGTGGTCAGTCACCCTGGACAACATTCCCAAATGAGATTTTTTTTTAAAAAAAACCCTACATTTTCCAGACTTGCTTATAGCTAGTTCTGGCCATGAGACCAAGTTCTGGCCAATGAGATGTAAGCAGAAGTCAGGTAGGAATTCTAGCACAGCTCTTTCTTTAAAGAGATTCCTCATATGCTGCTGTGATGGCTGGAACTATAGCCACTATCTGGGCCCATGAGGTGACCTTGAGGATGGAAGCAAGTGTTAGAGAGGGAGGAAAAGATAAGCCTGAGCCCTTAATGACCATAAGGCCATAGACTCCTTGTCTATCTTATGTAAGAGACGGGCGGGTGGGGTGGGGGTGGGGGGTGGGGGTGGGGGGGGGGAGCTTTATCCTTTTTAAAGCTACTCTTTTTTAGGATTCTCTATTCCATAGACCCAAAATGACTTTTTGGTATTAGCTGTGATTTTGGCCTCTGCAGGCCACTGTGTCTGGATGACTGGGAAAGAGCCGCAGGCCCATGTGGACCTAGTTCTGAGTTCTGGCTGCCCTGTCTGTCTCTCAGGGGTTCAGATCCTATAAGCTCACCAGAGCCTGGGAAGTTCAGGTTACCCGCACCCTCGGGGCCTAGCATCTCAGCACAAATCAAGATGGAGTCACTTTCTCCCACCCTCTCTTGCCCATAGGGGCTCAAGAATGCCTAGATGAGCAACCTGTTTGTGCAGAGACAGAGGGGACCAGAGTGGGGTCCCTGAGAAGGACGGTACCCACAAGGAGCTGCAGCAGCTGAAGTCGGCGTCATAGGCGTAAGTCCCATCCGTGCGGCAGCTGTCACCTGGGGGCAGCAGACAGAGGGCGGTCAGAGGCGGCAAAGCAGGGACCAACATCTCTGGCTCCCTGAGGCCCCAAGCTCAGCCCCACCCTGGAGTAAGGATGGCGGCTGGAGCACGAATGGCCTTGTTAGTAACTGTACGTGTGTTAATTTTCACTCTGAGTGAAATGGGCAGCCACTGGAAGTTTCTGACCATGATTCCTGCCCCCACCGGCAACACACAGCCAACCTTAGGCAACGCACCTCTCCTCTCCCGGCACTCAACTTCCCCAAGGTTGGGACAATACCACCTTCCTGCCTACCTCAGGGGGGCCTTGGGGAGAGCAAGCCAGGGAACAGGCGAGGTAGCGCTTTGTAAACTGTATATGTTTGAGAGAGAGAAAAAAGAACTTTGAGGGCAAGGAGCTCAAAATCATGAGGAGAAAGGACCACCAGGTACAGAGAACTTGCTCTTTACCTGCCCCTGTCATCTCAGTGAATCCAGCTACTGGCCTCCCCCTGCCCATCGTGGCTCACTTAGTGTCACTTCCTCAGGACACTCCCCTGACTTTCCAGGCCCCGCTGGTTCCTCATTATACATTCTTATAACACAGTGTGTGGTTACATTTTATCTGTGCAACTATTTAATTACTGTCGGCCTACTTCAGCACTGCACGCCTCAGAGGGAGGGCCACATCTGGCTTTACTCGCCAGTACATCCTGATTAGCAGGATCCCACAGACAGGTGTTCAAGAAATACTTGTTGAATGAATGAATTTGTTGAAATATCTGTTGAGTTATCTCATTTATTTGTCCATCATCCCTGGGAGAGTCAATGAACTTTCCCAAATTCTCAATAACCACAGTTCCCACAGATGTGAGTGCCTCCAGAAGGAAGGAGCTGGCTCCCCGTTGCCTGAGCTACGCAAACAGGGACCACGCTCAGGGGGCTGTGGCTGAGGAAGTTCACTTAATGGCCCTGAAGGCAGCATGGGGAGTGAGGCTGTTGCAGGAAGCTTTAGAATCAGATGCACCTGGGTTTGAATCCTGACTCTGCCATTTACCAGCTGTGTGACCCTGAGATATTTATTGACTACTCTGAGCCTTAATGTCCTCATCTGCAAAAATTGTATTCATAAGGCCTCAGAGCGTTCTTTCATCCATTCAGAAAATACACCTTGAGCATCCGTCCCTGGTCCTGTGTTAGGCACAGGGGATACAGTGGCAAACAGGACAGACAAGGTTGTTATGAGGATTAAATAAGATTCGGTACATCGGCCCTGTGCACATAGTTGGTGATCAACAAATACCGCTATTGGTCTCATTCTCATTCCAGCCCTTGATGGCATTCAGGGACCAGTCTGGAAATCTTGGTTTTGACCTAGAGTCCTAGTGGGACTAGATGGCTCAGTAAACTGACAATGCATGTGCTTAGGTTTTGGCAAAGTGGGGACACCAAAAAACAAAAGGGAGAGAGAGTTCAGCTCTGAGGGTCTCGTTCTGAAACTACGTTTGAGGTCATTATGAAATTTGACATTTTATTTTAGCGACATATCGGGGGTATGCTGTAATTGCTGTAGAGGTCAGGACCCCTAAGGGCTTTCATTGGCCCCAGTCCTGGGACATCCCCCCTCCTCTGGCCTTTCAGGACGTTTCACAGAAGGGGCCACCAGGAGTTGGAGTACTCACTGCGGCTGCACAGCCACGGCCGTTCGGGCGTGGACGTGTAGTGGTAGCCGGCCCGGTCCACACACTCGATGCTTTGGTCCCCGTAGATGATCTGGAAGACCTGACAGATGAGGGCGCAGGACTCCTCTGCAGCATCCTGGCCCAGAGAGGAGGACAGAGCTCAGGCCTTCTCCAGGGACCAGGATGCCCCTGCTTCCTAAAAACGCAGTGTGAGGAGGCGCACAAGGGCACACACACAACTATGGGAGCCTTTAAATTGATTTTGAGGACATTTTTCATCAAAATTATATGGCCACGCTCTGGGTGGCCTTTATAGAAATAGCCACTCACTGGCCTTTACAGAATCCAGTGACAAATGTAACTCTTCTGCCCTGAAAAATGCACACATGCACCCCAAATTTCTGGGAGAATTATGGGGCCTCCTGAAGCTTATCTAAAATAAGCCCTAATTTAGTTTAATTTACACATAGGAAGCTGAAGCCCAGAGACATAAAGTGATTAGCCAGGACTAGAGCCCAGGTCTCCTGATGCCTAGTAAGAGGAAAGGAAGAATTAACTGTATGAAAATGCTAGGCTCAGCAGAGTTACTACTGCTCAACATAGTTACTATGCCATATTTAGATATGAGCTTCCTGGCACCCAAGGCAAAAATGGAAGCAGGATGAACACGTAAACTTCAGTCCCTGATAGAAGGAAGGCATTTAAGTTCTTGGGTGCAACTTTTTTGAGATCGCAAATATGAAGAGGAATTTGCCTCTTTGATTTACCTCTTTAAGTCTTTAAGCAAGAGACACGGAAAGACAACAACTAATGAAGAGACCAACTTCATGAAGCCACTTCTTATATTGTGCTTCTAAAAAAGCCAGTCCAGGGAGTAAATTAAAATGTAACCCAGGACAGGCATTTTGGGATGAGGGAGTGAAATTATCATTAAACCAGGATTGACCCTTATAATAGCTCTACCAAATGGACAGGGAAGAGGGCATCCTTATTTTATAATGAAAGACATGGAGGCTTAGAGTGGTTAAGTGACTTGCCCAGGCTCACACAGCAGGCTCATGGTTTTGGTTAATATTGGCACCCAGGTTTTTTGACTCTAACTCCTGTACCCTCCTTGGGACCATGATGCCTCAGATTGGAGGCCAGAGGCTCAGTTACTCCTAGAAAACAACACTTATTTATTTACTCATTCCACAAATTATTATTTAGTCCCACTGTGTGGCAAGCACTGGGCCAGGCTGTGGAGTCTCAGAGGTGAATTAGATGAGGCCTAAAGCCCTCACAGCCCAGTGGGATAAACAGGGTACACTGTTCCCTCTGCCTGGAATTTGCTTTCTTGACTCTTTGCTCTGCTGCTTCCTTCTCTCTTACACTTTTCAGTTTAAAAGGCACAAACTCACTTTCCCTCTGGAAAATGGATCTCGCCCCTCATTATCATTGCAACCTGCTTTTCTACTTGGTCCCCATCACAAGGTATAGTAACATAGTACCCACTAATCCATCTATTCAGTATATTTATTGAGCACCTATCATGTGCCAGGCACTGCCCTGGGGGCCAGGGATACCAGAGTGAACCACCCGGAATGCACAGATGTCTTGAGATGAGGCTAGAGAGGAAATGAGGATGGTGGCTAGCCCACCATTGGAAGGTAGATGGCCTTATAAACAGTTGTAAGGACATTAGATTTTACTCTGAGTGAACTGGGGAGCCACCGAAAGGTTTTGAGCGGTGACACGATGTGACTTCTGTGTTAACAGGACTGCTCTGACCGTGTGGGGGAACAGATTCTGAGCAATGGCCAAACCAGTGAGGGGTGAGTGAATGACCCAGATGGGGGAAGATGGAGCATGGACCTGGGAAGTGGGGGACAATGGAGCGTGGGGAGTAGATACACTTTGGTTATATTTTAGAAATAGGGCCAACAGGATTTGTTGACAGAGTGGATATGGGTTGTGTGAGAGACAGGAGCCAAGGAGTGCTGCAGGGTTTTGGTCTGAGCAATGGAAGGACAGAGCTGCCATTCATCAAGACAGGGAGAGCAAGGGAGGAGCAGGTCTGGGGAGAAGACTGGGCGCTCAGCTCTGGTCGTTAGACCTTTGAACGGAGAGGCTGAGTGGAGACACAGCCGTGGAGATTTGGTGGGAGGTAACATTTGGGGGAGTTCTCACTAGAGAAGGCCACGTAGAAATGAGTGTAGATAAAGGAGAAAGAGAATCAAGGACTAAGCCTGGGACAGTCCAACCTCAAGAGACTGGTGAGAAGAGGAGGCGCCGGCTCTTGAGATGGAGCAGCCAGGGAGGTAGGAAAACCAGGAGCATGTGCAGAGCTGGACACCAAGTGAGAAAATGTTTCAAGTCAGCACCAGAGCCTGAGTTTACCGGTTACTATCCACCTCTCTCTCTAGAGAGGCACCGTGTCTGTTTTGTTCACCATGTGGGGTTTATATAGAGAGGGAGTTCAGGGCCCTGGGCCAGAGAAACAGCTTACAAGGCTCAGGGTTTGGAGGTGTCTGCTAGATGGTGAGCTCCCTAAGGGAGGGCACTAAATATGTCTTTGTTCATCTCTGTATCCATGGCACCTAGCCCAATGCCTAGCTCAAGCTGGCGCTCAATGAACATGGTCAAATGGATAAAAGCAAGGGTGAATGTGGAGGATGGGGGGGGGGCAAGAATGGCCAGAAGTCTTCTGCCTTGGGTGATGGCCATTGTTACCAAGAGTACAGGCTCTGAACTTCTGGGTCCCAATGCTGAAATCACCACCTGCTTCCTGTGTGACCTTGCACAAGTTGCTTAGCCTCTGGATCTGTTTCCTTCTCTATAGAATGGGGATGGTGGTAATATTTGCCTCCAGGGGTTACTGTGAAAATGAAATGACTTAATGCTGGTTTCCTGTCTGGCACAGGTCGGCCCTGAATTCGTGCTGGTGATTACTGTCCTCATTATTGTTACTGTGGTAGTGTGGACATTGACGACTTTGGAGAAGGAGCAGGGCTGGATGAGGGGTTAGATCAAGTCTGGGCCATTTTGAGCTTTCATCCCATTGGGACAGCAAGGGGGAGGTGTCCTGGGGCTGGAGTAAAAGCCTTTTGGCGTCAATGGGCCCACAGTTCCGAAGTTCTGGGCAGTAGGGCCGAAGGAGGGAAAAGAAAAGGGGCTGGGGTAGACTCCAGGAACTTGGTATGTGTGTGGGGAGTGTGAAAACGCGCCGGGGAGGCAGGGCGCAGGGGCGCGGGATGCCCTCGGGCTCACCCTGTTGGCCACAGCCAGGATGACCAGGTTGCAGTAGGCGTCGGGGCTGGGGTCCTGCGGGTCGAGCGGGTTGGGGCCCGGGTGGCGCCGCTCCCAGCTGCCGCCGCCTCCCGCCTGCCTCCGCTCCCAGCTGCCGCCTGGCTTGCCCGCGGCGCCGCCGCCGCCGCCGCCGCCGCCGCCGTGTCGCCGCTCCCAGCTGCCGCTGAACGTCTGCCGCCGCTCCCAGCTGCCCGACGCCCGCGCCCCGGCGCGCTGGCGCTCCAGGCTGCCGCCGCCGCCGCCCCCGGCCCGGGCCTCGGCGCCCGCGCTCCCGCCCCACGCCATCCGCCAGTCAAGGCTGCAGATGGTGTGGCGCCGCTCCGTGGCGCCCACCCGCCGCTTCTCGGGCGCCGCCCCGGGCGGGCCCGGGTCGCGCCCCGCGCCGCCGGGGCTGGCGTCTACTCCGGCTGGCACCGGGTCCACGCCCAGACCTAGGAAAGGCCGGGTGGCCGTCAGAAGCAGGAGATCCGGGCTGAGAGCCCTCTCCCGAGGCCAGCTGGGTGTCCTGACCCCCGCCGCTGCGGTGGTGGTTGGGGGGAGAAGGGGTCCAGCCGTGTCTGGCCCCGCCCCCACCCTCAGGCTCCACCCCTGGCTTCAAAGTCGGAAGGCCGGACCCCGCCCCACTACGGGTCCTCACTTTTGGGTCCCGCCCCCACCCTCAGGCTCCACCCCTGGGTTTGGCAGTTCCCACACGCCCTACTCCATTCCGACGCCCCTTGCCTCCCAGACGCTGCCGTCTGGTCTGAGAGTAGTGGTCAGGCTGTCCCCTCCTTCTTTACCCTTAACTCGGACCCTGTCCCGGGTTTCAGGAACACCTCCTTGGCTTCCGGCTTCCCTTCAACCCCTCCCCTGGCCTCAGGCCCCGCCCCTAGTATGGCAGGGTCTGACATCTCCCACCAAGATACCCCAGCCGCAAGCTCCGCCTCCCCAGTGTATGGCCCCTCCACTAGATGAGACTCCGCCTCTGCCGCAGGTTCCCTCCTAGCCTCAGAGCCTTGCTACCCTTCATCACGCCCTTTAACTTCAGGCCTCAGGATTCTGGCTTCTCCACCGTTTCGAAGATGGTGGGTCAGGCCGCCCCTCCTTCAAGCTTCAACCTTGGGCTTCCTCTTCTCGCAAACAGCCATGTCCTGTCCCTAGTCTCAGGGTAGTTTGGTCAGGTCTTTCCATCACCCACTTATCCAGCCTCAGGCCCCGCCCCTGCCCCAGGTCACGCCCATGCCCAAGACTAGGTGTTGGGCCCTTTCTCCACTCCTTCACCTCCCCCGCCCCGGCCCTGCCAGGCCCCGCCTGCCGTACCGGTCTTAAGCACCAGCAGGTGCAGCGCGTCGTCCTGCAGGTAGGAGGCAGCGGCGATCTCGTGCGTGGGGATACGCAAGATGAGCTCCTCGTTGTCGCGCCAGGTGAGCAGCAGGCAGCGGGCCGACAGGCTCAGGATGCTGTCCTGCTCCGCCGTGGTCTTCAGCGGCAGCTCCTTCAGCTGCTGCGGGGTGGGTCGGATCTCCTGAGTCCCGGGGGCCTCGGGTGGGAGAGGTAGGGGACCAGACCCTGCCCTCCCCTCTCCCGGAGCCTCACCCTGGCCGTGTCCAGCAGCTGCAGGAGCTCGTCGCGGCTGGAGGGGTTCAGTGAGGAGGTGACCCAGGTGAGGTGGCCCAGGAACTGGATGGAAATGGGGCGGGGGCGGGGGTGGTGGGAAAAGGGCAGAGAGAGGTCTCCCTGAAGCCTTGGAGGACCCTGACCTCCTCACTGACACAGTGCGGGTAGACTGAGATAAAAATATCTGAATTAATAATAATAGCCTGATAATAACTGTTATTAAAGCCATTGTAGGAGCCAGGCATAGTCCTGAGAGTTTTCTGCACTCATTCATCATCGCTTTAAGGATGAGAAAACTAAGGCACAGCAAAGCCAAATAACCTGCCCAATATTATAGAGCTAAAAAGGGCAGAACTGGACTCCACACACCAGAGTCCATACTCTCACTGCTAGCTTATTTTTGCTAAAATAAGCTTATTTTATGAGCACATAGTTATTTAGCTATGGCAGAAACAAATGTCATTAGAATAGCTTGAATTTCCTGCTTGGCCTGAGTGGCTCTGTGCACCCCAAGCACCAGTGTCAACTGACTGTGCAGGTCACTGGCCCTCTTCATGATCTTGTCGCAGAAGTCAAATGGAAAGGGAAGAATGTTGTATCCAATTAGCATATAATTTTGTCAGAAAAATGATGCCCTAAATTAAATTAATAGTAAATTAATTCTTCATTCATTCTTAGTTATAGCTTAATGTTATCACACTTAAATGTTATTTAATATAAGAATTAACTTTTAAAAATATTTTTAGTTTTATTCTTCTAGGTGATTCTACCAATCATACCTTTCTTTTCTTTTTATTCTCTATGAAATTTCAGTTCCCAATTTTTTAAGTGGATTTGTTTGCTAGCTTTTCTCTTCATATAGGGCTGCCAGGTAAAATACAAGATGCCAGTTAAACTTGGTTTTCACATAAACAACTAATATCAAAACTAAAAAAGTACTCATCGCCTATCTGAAATTCAAATTAAAAAAATTTTTTTTGTTGAAATATAATTGATTTACAGTGTTAGTTTCAGGTATATAGCAAAGTGATTCAAATACATATTCTTTTTCAGATTCTTTTCCATTATAGGTTATTATAAGCTATTGAATATAGTTCCCTGTGTTATACAATAGGTCCTTTTGGTTATCTATTTTATATATAGTAGTGTGTATCTGTTAATCCCAAACTCTAATTTATCCCTCCCCCCACCAAAATTCAAACTTAACTGGGTGCCTGTTTTTACTAAATCTGACACTCCTACCCCCATATCAGTCTTTATTGGGTAGCGAGGATTCTCCATTGCTCCTTCATGGTGTTCATAAAATAGAAGTAAAGCCCCTGAGTTGGCCTAAGTCCATGTGGCCTGCAGAACTGGCTTCCTTTAAGCTGGACACTGTCCAAGTAGCAGCAACGTCACTGCAGTAAAATCTCACAGGACGGTCCGGCTTTTTGGTGCACAGAGCACCCTCCCATCTGCTCTCCCCTTGGGGTAGGCTTTGAGCCCCATGTTGAGATGGCAACACTGAGGCTGAACAGGTGGAGGTCACTTGTTGAGGGTCCCCAGCATAATTCAGGGGCAAGGCTGCCTTGAACCCAGGCCTCTTTCCCCTGAGCCTCCCCTGTGTGGTCAGGGGTTGGTGTGGGGGAGAGGTAAGGTCTTTCCTGATGGGATCCAGAACATGCTTCCCTAAAATATGGCATCTTGGCACATTGAATATCTTAAGCTGAAGGAGTATGAGAAAACGGCAGAAGCAGGAAGGTCACTCTAACTTCCCCCACCTCACCCATCTTCCCTGAAAGCAGGCGATAAATCTCCCTGGTGAAGGGTACCCTCCTTTCAGGGTACCAGTAGGAAGGGAGACATCCTTATCACCAGGGACAGGGAATTGAGGGCCGAGAAGTCTGTATAAACAAACCTTGTTCCTCTTTCACCATTTACCAACCCCCTCCAAACCCCTCTGGCCTTGTCCATTCTTCACAGATTTATTGTTTCTTTGTCAAAAAGTATAAAAACTTCCTGCTCTGGTCACTTCTCAGGGTCTTCCATTCTCTTCTGAAGGCTCTCATGTCCATGTGAAAATTTAATAAAATGTGTGTGCTTTTCTCCTGTTAATCTTTGTTCAGTTTAATTTTCAGATCCAGCCAGGTAACCTAAGAGGGCTGAGGAAAACTTTCCCCCCAGCCCCTTATCTCAAGCTTCTTCCCACCCCTCCTGCTCATCCCGAAAGTACCTTGACCTCTTTCTCCAGATAGTCACACAGCAGAATCTGGGGGTCGATGAGGTAGTCGGGGGGATAAAGGGGCATCGAATGCAGGGGCCGGCGGCTCACACTGCTTCGAAAGGCTGCCCGGCGCCCAGCCTTCGGGAACACCAGCCTCCGGATGGGGGACACGAAGCCCTGGGAGAGGCGGGGGCGTGGGGGTAAGAACAGTAATAACAGCAACTGACTTGATCATATTCAGCACTTACATGTGCAGCCTTTTACTTACATTACCTAATTTAATTCTTACAAAAACTCTGCAGAGAGGGTAGCTCTATGATTCCCATTTAGTAGGTGGAGAAACAGCCTCAGAGAGGCAGCTAGCTAATAAGGTCACCAGCTAGTAGCGGTAGAACCAATAGTTCACCTTGGGCAGTCTGGCTCCAAACCTTCCATTCTAAACATGCAGGTGAGGGTAGAAGCCCTGTGCAGGCCCAGGCTGAGGCTTAAGGAACCCCCACCCAGGCTGGGGCAAGTACAGAAAAATATTAACATTCAGTGTGGCTGAGTGGTGGGTGCATAGGTATTTAAGCTATTTTCTGTGCTTTCCTAAATATTAGAAATGGTTAACAGGTACCTTGAAGTTTAATCCAGTGGGCACCTGCATAAAAATGGCCTGGATCAAGGTTAAAGGAGCAAATTTCAGGACCCCAGCCCATCCCAACAGAATTTAAACTCCCAGGAAAGTGTGAGCACTGCTCTAGAGCAGTGGTTCTCAGTGTGTGGTTCCTGGGTCTCCACCAGCAGTAGCAGCAGCATCGCCTGTGAACTGAAGAGAAATCTACATTCTTGCGCTCCATCTCAAACCTATTGGATCAGAACCTGGGATGAGACCCAATGATCTGTGTATTAACAAGCGCTCCAGGTGATTCTGCTGCAGGCCCAGCTCAAGTTTTAAAATCAGTATCACGGAGCCTGGATGAAGTACGTGGAAGCTCTGAGAAATGAGAACAAGCGATGTGGGAACGAGCACCCCAAGCAGAGGGCACAGCATGTGCAAAACACTGGGGGCTGCAAGGGCGGGCGCGAGCCTGGAGAAGGTGTGTTGTAGCTGTGGCTGAATGACGAGATGAACCAGTCATAGAGGGCTCGAATGCCGGCTGTGGAGCCAGGACTTTATCCTGTATATGGGAGCATGTGTGTATATGTGAGTGGAGTGGGGAGGTGAATGCTTTGTCTGTGGCCCTCAGTGGTCCACCCCTGCCCACTTCTCCAGCCTCATCTCACCCCACGCTGCCCCTAACTCCTGCCCTCCAGCTATAGGGCCATCTTTCAGTTCTTCCTATTTGCTACATTCCTTCCTACCATGGAGCTTTGCACATGCTGTTCCTCTGCCAGAAACACTCTTCCCTGTCCTCTTTCCTTCCACCCATCAGATCTCAGCTCAAACTGACCAGTCTAGGGCTGGGTCCCTTAATATTCTGTCACCCAGCACTGTGTATGGAGACTTTTGTACAGTTTTACATTAATTGTTTTTTTTAAAAAATTGATAGTTGTCTCCCTCACTAGAATGTGAGCTTCAGGGAGGGAGCAGGGACCTTGTCTGACTTTGCTCACCAAGTGCATCATCACCAGCGCCAGGCACAGTGCCTGGCACATAATAGGTGCTGAATAAATATCTATAGAAGGAATGAACCAAGAGAGAACAAGCACCTATGTCTTGTCTCCCTTCGGAGCCCTCACAGTTCATGTGGGAGTCTTTTCAAACAGCTGGATCTAGGTTTCCTGGGGGAAGAGGGCTCAGTGGGGGTGGGGGTAGGAGTTGGAATCCCAGAGGCTCCCTGGACCACAAAGAGAAACAGGTGTGATGCCCAGAGAACCAGACTAGAAAATATCTGAGAGTCAGGAAGGGGTAAAGGTCTAGGGGTGGGGGGAATGACCCCCAGGCTGAGGCCTTTGGAGCAGAACTGGGCCCTGTATAAAGACAGGGAAGGGGCAGGCTCAGTTGGAACCCAGCGGGGGGGGAGCAAGCAGGTGTCTCAAGCCTGGATAGGCAGCCTCATAGCACAGAATTGCCCTGGCTGAGGTCCTTCTGTCTGGGGAGGCAGGGAGCAGGGGAATGGGTGTGTTGGGTGGCTCTCTATCTGTCCCTTGGTCTGAGAAGCTGCAGGAGGGAACCCCCAGGAACACCAGGGAAGCAGGTTGAGAATATCTCCCAAACTAATCTGGCTGGCTGGATTTTCCTGGAAGGTGCCCGTCCGTCTGTCCATTCCTGGGATGGCACAGGCCACTGAGAGCAGGGAGACGGGTTAGGGAATTTTGAGTCCAAATGTCTGGCTGCCCAAGGGTGGGGAGGAAGGTCTTTCCCAATAAGAAGAAAGGCTCTCCTGACGCCACTCACTGCCCATCACCCCCCTCCTCCCCCCAGGCTTCCCACTTCTCCGACTCCGGGGACATCTCTCTACCGCGCACCCTTTCCAACCTCCCACCTACCTTTTTCCCTTTCTTGACTTCATATTCCATGGTGAAGTGTCCCCTCCACTCCTGCCACCCTCCTGGCCACCCCCCTCCACCTTCTCCCCCCATGCAGTTCCTTTGTTCTTTTTCCTGCCTGGTCGGAAACTCCACCAGTCCCAGAGTTCCTGCCCCTCCCATCTGATAGTGAGCGGTGGGGTGTGGGGTGGGTGGAGGACGCAGCCTTGGGACCTTCCAGCTGAACAGTGGAAGCCCAGCCAGAGCAACTGGCCTGGGGAGAAAGCCCCCAAGGCCTCCAGCAGGCTTGCTATTTAGGGGGCTTGGGAGTTGAGTAAGGCTGGGAATGGTCCCCTGAATTTGGAGTCGGAAAGTCCCAGATACCACCCCCTCTTCTGCCACCGACCTTGCTGTGTGACCTTGGCAAGACAGGATAGTTCCCCCTTTCACAGCCTCAGTTTCCCCCTCCCCTTTATAAATTAGGAGTAAACATTGCCTTCCTCTCTGGGCTGGTGTGGTGAGAAATAAATGGAAGTGGGTGGGAAAATGCTTCATAAACTATGGAATATTGTGTCTGAGCAAGTAATGATGTTAAAATTTAATCATTACTATTAAGGGAGGTGGTATGCATGGGCTTTAGAGACAGGCTGTTTGAGTTTGAATCCTGGCTTTGTCACTTACTAGGGTTATGACCTTGGGTCTGTAACCTCTTGTGCCTCCATTTCCCCATCTGTACAATGGGCATAATACCAGCCTTGTGACCTTGTAAGAATTAAATGCACTTAGAAAGGCTCTTGGCACATGTGAGGTACTCAGTAAATATTAACTATTTACCTGTGTGTCTGTGTGTCCTGGGCTGTTTTACTGTCTCTTGAGAGAATAATATTAGAGAGGCAAGGTTCCCTTTGTGGTTCTGGACTGAGCACTTTACTTATTTCATCTCACTTATTCTTCACAATATTGGGGTACCATTGTTATACAGATTTTTTTCTTTCTTTCTTTTTTTTTTTTTTTGTGGTACGTGGGCCTCTCACTGCTGTGGCCTCTCCCGTTGAGGAGCACAGGCTCCGGACGCGCAGGCTCAGCGGCCATGGCTCACGGGCCCGGCCGCTCCGCGGCACATGGGATCTTCCCGGACCGGGGCACGAACCCTTGTCCCCTGCATCGGCAGGCGGACTCTCAACCACTGCGCCACCAGGGAAGCCCTGTTATACAGATTTTTAAAACAGGCTCAATTGCAGAGGCTGACCCAATGAGGGGACACAGTGAATGAGAGGAGGACCTGGGATATCTGCTGGGTCTGGCTCTGATCTGAAGCCTGGTTCCTTTCCTCTAGGGCCTATGCCCTCTGTGTGGCCCACCCAGGACAGCTGGAAAGGTTCTGACTGACCCCTTCTGACCTTGCCATGACCCCTGGGTTCTGGAGACCTAAGTCCCGGAACTGATTTGCTGTATGATCCAGGGAGGTTGCTTATTGTAAGCTCCCTGGGCCTCAGTTTCCTCATCTTTCCAACGGGAACAATAATCCCCCAAACCCTGTCCTGCAGTCAGAGACATGGCAGGAAAGACATCAGGCCGTGCATAAGAAGGCAGTTGGAAATTATGAAGTGCAGGGGCCAATGCATAGGATTGTTTTGAGTTTTTTCTAAAAGCCTGGGTGTTCCAGGTTAGTGCCGGTGGGAGCGAGGGTCAGAGCTCCCCACTGCCTCTGGGTGTGAGAGCCGACAGAGGCTCCCAGACACCCGCCTTCCCTCTTCCCCTCCCTCCCTCTTTTGGGGGTGGGGAAATGGCCCAGGCTGCTTAGTGCTAGCTCATACAGCCACCCCCACCTGCTCCCCTACATCCTGCCAGTCACCTCCCAACAGCAGGAAGTGAGGTCTCCCTCAGCGCCCCCGCCGGCCAACAGGAAGAGGCCTGACCCAATCCCTGACTGCCCCAGACATCAAACTCCCAGTTAACCCCTGAGCAGGTCCTGAACTCCCACCCTCAGAGTGGCAGCAGGGAAGGAAGGGTGGTCTCTTGCTTTGGCACCTCCAAGACTGACTTTTTATGTTTTTAAAGATTTTCCTGATGTGGACCATTTTAAAAGTCTTTTTGAATTTGTTACGATATCGCTTCCGTTTTATGTTTTTTTGATATTTTGGCCACGAGGCATGTGGGATCTTAGCTCTGTGACCAAGGATTGAACCTGCACCCACTGCATTGGAAGGTGAAGTCTTAACCGCTGGACCTCCAAGGGAAGTCCCCCATGACTGACCTTTGCAAGCCTTTTCTTCTCTCTGAGCCTCAGTTTCCCTATCTGTAAAATGGGGATGTCTGTTATTCCTGGAATAACTCCAAACATCACTGAACTGCTGGGAATCTCAAACAGGACAAGAAGTGTTCTGAATGCCACTAGAAAGAGCAAACTATCCCTGTGTTCCCTGCAGTGCACACCCCAGGGCCATGAACAGATCAATTGGCTAGTACGTCAGTGGAAATGGGCGGAGACAGGTGGACCTAGGTTCACATGTGTATGACCTTGAACCAGTAGTTTCTCTTGGAGTCCCAGAGTCTCGCGTGTCAATAGCAGGGTAATGATGGTGCTTGCCTCAGAAGGCTGCTGCAGGGATTAAGTGGGATCAGAAGCATACAGTGGTAACACTTATTAACAAAGTTGCTTGTGAATCAAAAAAGAGGTGAGTAAAACAAAGTCCATGCCCTCAAGACTTAACAGTTGTGGCAAATAGGATTCACGTCTTTTGAGCCACCTCCAGTTGATTGGA